TCTTCATGGTCCGTGGCAGTGGACATTTATCAATCAGGTCCAGCCTGCATGTGAACTCTGACAGGATGATGTCTACTTGCTCTTTCCATTCTCCTGCAATATTAATTTTATGTCCAAGATAAGTGTATGTCTCGTGAAGAGAATATACACGTATAGGTTTTGTTGCTACTGTAAACACTGGACATTTATCAGATTTTGAGCGGTACCACCTGTTCCCTACACTCCTCCTCTCATACAGAACAGCACATTTTGTGTCCTTAATCTCCAGGCCTGACCATTTCAGAAAAGAATCTGTTCTGGCTAGCATGTTTTTAATTACGCTCTCTTCTCTGGACTTCTCTTACTTACACACACTCACAGACACACACATACAGAATTATACATACTCACATGAATTGGTATGGCTATAACCATATAGCCAAAATGAGTCAGAAGACTGAAATAAGAGGTTAAAATCAGATCAGACCCAGAAGGGTTCAGCTCTGATAAAGCATTCCTGTTAATTTTTGTTACATTTTTATAGAATTTTAATGTTTTGTGTAAGAAAAAAACTGTCTTTCTGTGTTCAGGTTTGAATGTAGTAATAATAATGCAAAAACCTACACTTCAAATCAACAATTAAAACAACAACAAATATAAACCTTGACAAAACGTAGTCTTTGAGAATGCCTATAAATTTAAATCCACAACCTGATAAAAGTAAACAATTATGTATAAAAACAACTAGGGAATTCACAAGCATCTCTAAAGAGCCCTATACAGGCATCTAGTGGTTACACCATGAAATTACAGGTTTTTCTTTTGCTCTCACCAGGAGGTGCTATTCTGCCTTCAAAAATTGGATTTTAAAGGCCTAGTCTTTATTTTAATCTGAAATACTGCATTAATTGAAAAATAATTTAAAAAAATTTAAATGTTGTACTATTTTCAATGGGGAAAAACTGATCATAATTATTGCATAAATATTAATTAGTACCAAAAAATCCTCTCAAAATACAAAAGAAAAAATATTATTGACCAAAAATATATTAGATTGATTTTACTGAAGAAAAAAAAAAAGTTACATCTCTGCTGTCCGGTCACTTTTGACCGCGAAGACCATGAGTGTGACTCCCAAATGAGGAGTGCACAAAAATGTCCTTCTTCCTTTGGATATTGTCCCGCTGAAGTGTTTGTGATTGATTGATCGCACCTCTCCTCTCCACAGCATCGGTGCATTTCCTGACGAACTGAGGGACGCTGCTTTTCTCTCGCTCACACAGCAGCTCCAGCCCACAGCCGAACACCTGATCTGAGATCAGAAACACAGAGCAACAGGTCAGAGCCAGAGCAGGACACTCACACAGACAACATCAGCAAATAACTTCACATTCCATTTCATTTTGAATGGAAACCCAATTAAATGTTTTTAAAGAAGTCTCTTCTGTGCATCAAAGCTGCATTTACTTGATCAAAAACACAGTAATATTATGAAATTCGAAATGTGAATATATTGTAAAATGTCATTTATTTCTGTAATGCATCATTACTCCAGTCTTCAGTGTCACATGATGCTCAATTATTATTGGTGCTCAGTTATTAATAATGGTTCTTCTTATCAGTTTTTGCTGCTTAATATTTTACTACTACTGAAAAGAACAGCATTTATTTGAAATATAAATCTTTTGTTACGTTATAAAGGCCTTTACTGTGACTTTCGATCAATTAGATGCAAATTTGCTGAATAAAAGCATTCATTTCTATTAAAAACAAACATTTGAATGGTAGTACTTCATGCTTTCTGCATAAATATTACTTTATTGGACTGGAGTAATGATGCTGAAAAACACACACACACACTCACGCACGCACACACACACACTCACGCACACACACATACACACACACACAGTCACACACACACACACACACACAGTCACACACACACGCACACACACACGCACACACACACACACTCACAGACACACACACACACACACACACACACACACACACACAAACAGACACACACACAGACACACACACAGACAGACAGACAGACACACAGACACACACAGACACACACAGACACACACAGACACACACAGACACACACAGACAGACAGACACAC